CATTTGTACTCTATAAGAAACTCATTAAGGCAGCTATTGTGATCCAATGTGGATGGAGGGGAATGGTTGCTAGGAGGTTGCTGCGGAAGATGAAATTGGTAGGCCCCACAGTTTCTGTTATCCTTGAACTTTATATTGTTACAGCTGAATACAGAAAATACCCATGCAATTTAGTGTAATTTGGGAAAAGAAGCCAGCTATCTATTGAACTAATACCCTTTTAGTATGTAATGAGCAATTACTAATTTAGTCAAATTTGGAAAAAGAAACCAGCTGTCTTTTATTAATATATGTGTTTATGTAACAATCAAGCGCTGATCGTTATTAATCCTAATGAGTTCGTTCAAATGGTTCTTTCTGTCTTCACTCAAATTGGTTGGGAGGATTAGATTTCTACCGTACGAAATAAAAAAGTCATTAATCTCTTTCATCTTGGATAATTGCCTGTGAAAAATTTTGCAGTGTGCAAGAGAATCAGGTGCCCTTCCAGAAAATACACCTGAGAAGCAAGTAGAAGACTTGAAGTTACGGTTACAGCTGGAAAGACAACTAAGGGTAACTTCCTTTGCTTCTTTACTTCTTGAAAGCTAATGTTTTTGCCGTGACTGCTCATGAAAAATCCTTGTCTAGTTTTCTATAGTGATTTCTTTCGCCCTCACATGTGATTGCTTGTGAATCTTGTATTTTTTGTTGTTGTTGTTATTATTGCTATTTGTTTAACCATCAAAAAAGAAAAAAAAAAGAGGCAAATCCTTTGCGTCATTTTCAAGTCCATAACATCACGATTTTACTCAATAATATCGCTTCAACTATTGTCTGTCATATTCTTGAATCATGTTTTTGTTTTTGATTGTGCAAACATTTTTCAATCAACTTCTCGAGGAAAGCTGTGACATGTGGTGTGGCGTTTTATGCTACAGTTTTACCGAAAATGAGAATTCTTGTGGCAGGCTGAATTGGAAAGTAGAGTGGAAGAGGCAAGTGCTCTGTTTCGTAAAGAACGAGAGGCAGCCCAGAGATCAATTGAAGAGGTCTCCTCAATTTTCAAAGAGACACAAGGGGCAGGTGACGATACCAATAAGATTGCGGCTCTAACTATAGAAGTGAAAAATTTGAAGGTAACATTTGGAAGATTGAGGCATGATTTTTCCCTCTCAATGCTAAGCTATTGTAGGGGATACTAATTAAAAGAGGATGTCTAAAATAAAAAATTTTAAGTTGTAAATGAGCTTAACTGGTCTGGGGATTTTGATGGGTTCGGGCTGAAAATGAAAAGTTTTAGTGATGCACTTTTTTTTTTTTTTTTTTTTTTATTTTTTATTTTTTTTGTGTAATTACAACAGAACTTGTTACAATGCGAAAGAAAACGAGGCGATGATTTGGAAAAGCAGTACGCAGAAGCCCTGAAATCGGGAGAGTTAAAGCGTCACAAATTGGAAGAAACCGAAAAGAGAGTCCATCAGCTTCAAGAGTCTTTGAACCGGTACCATAATTCTTAAAAGTTGTTTCATTTTTCCCCATTTTCCTTCCTTTTCTTCTTGTGTGTGTGAAAATATTAATAATTTTATTTTTCTACAAAAATATATTCATGTAGAGTGTTGTGTTCTGATATATTTCGGTTGAAAACAGTGGAATTGTGGTTAATAAGATTATGAAGATTATTTGTACTACTTTTAACTATTAATGATAGATATATCTTAGTGTGCCTCAGGATGATATACAGCATGTCTGGACAATTTTCGGAGCTCAAGATGATTTTGTGTGCCTCGTCCAATTCGAGTTCAGCTTCGAATTTCGTCGATAAAGATGATTTGATTGATGATGATAGCTCCGCATCATCAGATACAACGTCAACTGATTCTGATTTTACATTTCCAGCACCTGCTTCGGCTCCTGCAAATTTCTCTTCTACTTTTGATCCTGGTCCTTTCCAGCTCATTGTTCAAGATCTTTCAACTGTTGATAATTCAGGTCAGTATTAAAATTATGGGTTAGTTAATCACTAAAAAATATCCTGTTATCTCACAAAAATGACAAATTGCTCCTAATGAATTTTTTTTCTTGCTATCAATATTGAATTCATGAGATGATCACAAAAGTGCCACAAGGTTTATAGCATGATTTTGAAAAACTCCAGTTATCTTTATTAAGTTACAAAAACAGATATGAAGGGATATTTCGTAAAATATCTAAAAAACTGATACAATCTTCTAAAGGCTTATTTTTATTATAAGCAATTTTTCATTATACGATTTAACCTTCTGTCAATGGTTTATTCGCATTTGTCTGCAGGAACTCAAAACTGGGAAGCCGACAGGGAGGGGGCATTCGACGACTTTTTCTGATGCGCATTGCTGAAAATATGTTGTGTTATCTTGCAATAGTTAGATTATTATTTATTCTTTTTTTTTTTTTCTGTGTATAAATGTTTTTCAACATTATGGTTGCTTAGTAGCTATGGTTCTATAGCTACTTATGAGTAACAAACGATATTTGTCTCACAAACGTGTACATAGAAAGAAAACATTAAGCAGTAGCATCAAACAACTATCAAAAACTAAAATAAGGTAAAGTGAAAATAATTGGGCTGAAGTGTCTAATATCAGTAAGGTTGGCCCATCATAATGTTGGACCACTAAACAACAACTGAGTGTAGAAGCGGCTCACTGATACCAATTTCGCCATTTGGTTTCTGAGGTCTGCATGTTATCTTCTATTTTAATCCAATTTTGATTATTATCCTCGTGTTCAATTTTTCTTTAACACGTGAGAGATCTCACCTCTTTGACTCTTTCCATATACACAGGCAATTTTTTTTTTTTTTCCAGTTTGAATGTATTTTTTTATCGGTGTCACATTCTCCATTTGGTAGTGTGCATAAATAGGCTAATCTAGTTCAGTTGGTATTGAGATAAAAAATAAAAAATAAAAATAAAATTGTTCAATGCCTACATATACAATAAACAGGATAAAGTCAAATGCCACCATATGCGGTTTTATTAATGCACAAAATCTTGTATGAGACCGTTTCATAGTTAGACAGGTTGACGTGTCATACTTTTTTAAACAAAAATATATATTTATATATTGATAAATATCAAACTTTAGTTTTTGTTGTTTATTAAAATATGTCACTTGCGTATGAAAATAAGCATATTTGTTGATAAAATATAACACGTTACCACAATTTGTTTTTAATATTTTAATAAAAAATGCATAAGAAGCTTCATATATAATATAAAAATAGCTAGGGTAGGAGAGTGAACCCTTGAAATCTCAGTCTCGGCCCTTTTTCCTCATGCTAAAAATTGCTTGGAATGTTCCATATAGACTAGAGGACAAATAACATGAGAGCAAAGAGAAAAATTAAATGTCTTTATTATTATTATTTTTTCTTGTTTTTATTATATGATTTTCTGTTTAATAATCATCCATGCACATACATAATACATGAGAAAATGATGGATGTTTTGGTAGAAGTAAGTAGTGGTTAACATCAGTTACGTTGTTATCTTACATACCAATCTTTCCATTATCNAAAGAAAAGAAAAAATAAGATAAAAGAGATAATAAAAAAAGTAAAAGGGATATATAGGCCACCGTTTTTCCCTAACAAAATCCTATGTAATGAAGACCATGTCAAAATCCTTACACCACTTTTCTCACATCACAATATGCACTCAGTCACAAATCACAACATTCAATATTATTTCAACCACACATCAAATTACGGGATAAAGGGCTTTTTTTGCCTCATGATTTTCTTTCTCAACTACCTCTAAGGACTAATCAATAAAACTATATCTTTATTATAGTACTCTTAACGAACAAGAACAAACCAAAAAAAAAAATAATAATAATAATATTGAATGTGAGTTTTATCCATGACATTTACCATGGTTTTGGAGTTTCTTGCTAAAACATCTAACTAATGTTTCATTTCGTTAAGCAAAAAAGGTTGAAATGAAAATATGACCTTGAATTGTAACCATTTCCATCAATATCGAAATCAAAATCATCTAATTGTTTTGTTATATGGTCGTCGCATGTGATTATCAAATTATATTAGCTAATATACACCCTGTCAAGAAAAGAATGAATAAATTATTTGCAATGAAAGCATTTTTTTTTTTATTTTTTTTTTTTTTTTTTTACTTGTAAAGGTGTCACACAATAGTGATAATGTTTATATATTGTGTAAATGGACCAGTGAATTAGGTGAGATGGGTTCTTAATTATATCACATTGTTCTTTTGTTAACGAACAAGAAGAAAAAAACTAAAATCCCACGTATGTATTTTTGTAATTAAGCCGTGATTATTGATAATTTGGTGTGAATTGGATGAGAATAAGATCTAAGTGATGTAAGTGATATATATATAATTGAAAAAATTAAGAAAAGCTACTAGAATAGATACATATATAATGCTATTTTAGCAGTATAGGAATAAACCGAAAATTTTATTATATCGCGTGTTGGCATTGTTCATATAGGTATTTAATCTTTGGATTAATAATTTAATACACATCTACAAACGTATGTGAATGCGTGTGATCCGACATACCACAAAGATATGTGTCAATGTGTGTGATCCGAAAGATAATAACTCCGTTCGGTTAAAACATGTTTAGTATGACCAAATTATACATAAGAATAAATTTGGATTAATGATTGACATTTGAAAATACTAAGAGAGAANTTTTTTTCTTTATTCTTCTCTCTATCTAATCACTTTTGTTAAACAATAAGATCACTAGCTAGTTTTAACTTTAGACTATATATCAATATTCATAGGCCCCCTCATGAGACTATTGTTGACCCAAAACTTTTCTCTTCCCCTACAGATAGCTAAAGATAAACACCATTCATATATAGCCCTTATATATATTTCTCTTTTGCTAGAAACAAAGAACACTAACCACTACCCTTAATCACCTATATATTCCCAATTCCAAAGATTATTTTTTCTTCAAAAGAATTTAAATTTTGTGTTTCCTATATGGAACCAAACAATCAAGAACTATCCACAAGCCGGCATTTCGAAACCATCGGCTCGAAAAACGACGGTCTCTTAGGCGTTGGTCGGTTATACGAGTGCGTGTTTTGCAAGAGGGGTTTCAACACGGCACAAGCTTTAGGCGGGCACATGAATATTCATCGATCGACTAGGGATCATCATAAGCCGGCTGCCAAGAAAAAGTTCGTCTCAACAAACGAAACCGACAAGCAACAAGAAAAAAACCGTCAAAATTTCGTGTGTCGTGATGATGATTACATCGGCCGACCTAGCTCAAGTTTGTTGACCGAGAGTTTCTCGCCTTTCACGGCTCCCGCCATGAAAATAAACTCGTTCGGGATAAAGTTTTTTGGCGATTTGGATTCGGGTTCGGGTTCGGTTTATGACCCGGAAATATTGTTGGGGAATAGTAGGGAGGTGAAAAATGTGAGTCAATGTGAGAAAGAGGAATTGGATTTGGAGCTTCGACTTGGATTTTGATTAAGAATATTGTTGAACAACTTTTAGTTGGGGAGTGTTTGTAGTGTGTGTTGGCTTTAGAATTATTGCTCTTTTTTGAAATTTTATTATGTGAGTGTTGTTAAGTTGATGATATAGTTTAATTTGGAATAGTAATGTGTGCTTGGGATGTTGCATAGTGAATATAAATTATATAATATATAGTATTTTTAGTCATATATAAGGGTGATGAAAATAATTTGATATAATAGAGGCTCTATTGTTGGTGCTTGTGAAAGCTTACCTATGTTGTTTGGATAATAATCATCAATTCCAGAAATGCTATGGAGCCATCGGATGGTTTCCCTATAGAGTCATCCATAACTTTATATATTGACACGTGTCAATACACCATTTGTGGATGAATGACTCCATAAGCCGAGCCATCCGATGACTCTATAGCAAAACCGTCATCAATTAATCAACAGTCAATAATGTTACAGTATTCAATAGTGTAATATTGTTCTTCACTTTGAATATAATTAATTGTTCTTCACTTTGAATAATGAATATGATTTACCTGTGGTCATTAAATGTTCATTGCATATATACACAGGATTCACTAACTTGGTTAAGGAATTCAACTGAACTTTTCATTATCTTAAAGATGTTCATGATCAAATTGTGTAACTGCTTGTTATCGTAAATATTCAACCAAAGATAGATTGTACGAAATAATTTTCTCTCATAATCAAACAGTTGTGAGATTAATTAATGACTGGAGCGGCCCATTGATTGTTTGGCCTGTTGCATTCCCGAACATTGAAATCAATCTAGTGCATACTTTCCAATTTACTCCAATTTTTAGGGCCAGTCATAATTTTATGTGGGCTGTAGGCCCATTTGTTTTGGGCTGGTATTTGATGGCCCATACTGAATTACTAAAATTAAAACTATTTATATTCCTGTCAAAGTGCAAACGGCCATATTTTTTATGGTTAGACTGCCGATCAAAATCTAGCTGTTTCACCTTTAAGTTATGCAATTAATCCTAATTTATTAATCTATGAAAGTGGTGGGTTACAGTTACGAATCTTGTATCGAATATAGAACTTTGTATCAAAACTTGCACTAACGGCTTTGATTTTAACATAGATTTGTGTGCTCGGAAACGAGCGTTTTCTGAGTTTATTACTAAAAGATAAAAGATAGTTCGTACAAAAGTCTGAAAACAACATAAAATAACCATACGAGCCTTCCTAAACTAAATTGAAAACGAAAATTAAAACTGCTCCCGCCCAGACCTTAGCGCCGCTAACCCCGTTAGGCTGGAACCTTCTGTCGCCCTCTAAGGTAGGCAGCGGCGCTAGCTGGCCGCTAGCTCTCGGCCTTAGCGGTGCTAAGGCGGGCTAGCGGCGCTAAGGCAGGCTAGCGGCGCTAGCCCCTAGATAGCCTCCATCTTGTTGTCCTTTGATTCGTGCACGTTGATCCCGGTTATAAGCATTCTTCAGTCGACGGCCCTCATACGCATCATTCCCGTCCCCTTCAAGAGTGTCCTTGTCCTCAAGGACAAAATTCAGAAATTGAACTCGCATATCCTGCAAATTTTCCCAAGTCGACTCCTCTTCTAGCAACTCGTCCCACTCGATTAAGAGGAAACGACCAGCTTTCTTAATTCTCCGATAATCCAATGCACGTGTTGGACAATCATAGTGCCTTCGGAAGTCACCGCCGGCAATCTCGTTTGAACTTCTTGACGTCCACTAAAGCTTTTCTTTAGTTGGGATACATGAATAACTGAGTGAATTTGAGCTTCTGCCGGTATATCAAGTCTATAGGCCACTTCACCTACATGTTCTATGATTTGATATGGACCATACAAGCGGCTTCCCACCTTGAATAGAGCTTTTTGAGAAATCATTTGTTGACGATAAGGTCGAAATTTCAAATAAACCCAATCGCCCGGTTCGAATCATTCCTCTCTTCTTCCCTTATCATAGTATTCTTTTATTCGGTTGATTGACCTATGTAAGTTACTTTTTAGCTCTCAAATCATCAAATCCCGTTCCGTTAGCTTGCGATCAACTTCATCATTCGGGGACTTTCCCAACGGATAACTAACCATGGTAGGTGCCACCCATCCATAAACCAACTCGAAGGGAGTGAACTTAGTCGAGGCATGATATGTTGTGTTATACCAATATTCATCCCACGACGGAAACCCTTCCCATTTTTTCGAAAAATCATGGACATAACATTTGAGATACTGTTCAAGGAATTACCTCGTTTTACCCGTCCGTTTGAGAAGGATATGCTGAACTCATAGCTAATTCAGTCCCTTGCATTTTGAAAAACTCTTTCCAAAAATTACTCATGAATATCCGGTCTCTATCCAACACAATGGACCGTGGAATCCCATGTAACTTCACTACATATTCAACAAACAATTTAGCCACCGACTTAGCTGTATATGGATGGGTTATAGAAATGAAATGTGCATACTTGGTAAGACGATCCACGACCACCATATCCCCGTTGAATCCATTAGACAACGGTAACCTTTCAATGAAGTCCATTGCTATATCCACCCATATTCTTTCGGGCACCGGTAGGGGCTGCAATAATCCACTTGGCTTTCTAGAATCTGATTTCACCTTTTGGTAAACATCACACCTTGCACGAACTCCCGACCTTCATTCTTTCCCCCGGGCCAATAAAAAGTATTGGATAGTCGTGCCCACGTACAATAGACTCCGGAATATTCCCCAATCTTGGATTCGTGAAAATATTGGATAATTTCACGTCTCAAGTGATTGGTTTTCGGTACATTACACCCTACCTTTATATAATAACAATCCACCATAGACATCATAATCTTGAGCTTCCATCTTTCTACAAACATCATTACAAAAGTCATCTTGAGTATTTGCCTCTCGTAATTGATCGCATATAGCCCAAGTTCGTCCGGTAACAGCTTGAAGTTCGACCACATCGGTTCGACGAGACAAAGCATCCGCAACCGAATTTTGTCGACTCGGTCGATAGCAAATCTCAAAGTCAAATCCCATTAACTTTAACACAAATTTTTGTTGCTCCGGAGTTACAATTCGTTGTTCCAACAAATGCTTAAGTGGTTGTTGGTCCGTTACAATTCGAAATGTCGTCCCAAAAGATAAGGCCTCCAAAATCGGATCGCTTCCACCACCGCTAGCAATTCCTTTACATAGACCGACCACCCCACTCGCATACTCCCCAAAGCCTTGTTCATGTAAGCATTAGGTCGTACTCGGATCGTTTTCTGAGTTTATTGCTAAAAGATAAAAGATAGTTCGTACCAAAGTCTGAAAACAACATAAAATAACCATACAAGCCTTCCTAAACCAAATTGAAAACAAAAATTAAAACTGCTCCTGCCTAGGCCTTAGTGGCGCTAATAGCACCGCTAAGGGGGGTTAGCGCCACTAACCCCGTAAGGCTAGAACCCTCTGTTTCCCGCTAAGGTAGGCAACGGCGCTAGCTGGCCACTAGCTCTCGGCCTTAGCGACGCTAGCCCCTGGACAACCTACATCTTGTTGTCCTTTGATCCGTGCACGTCGAGCCCGGTTATAAGCATTCTTCAGTCGACGACCCTCATACGCATCAGTTACTCTACACCGTTTTTTTTTTTTTTTTCATTAATTGAAAATATGGAATCTGCAACCGTTATTAATTGTCTCACGTATGATGTTGATGTAGATATAATTTTTTAGTCTTTTTCTTAATACTAGTACGTAACACGTACGATGCACGAGACAAATATATTAAATGAATTATTTTCATAGGTGTTCGTTTAAGTCTAAAAAACAATATAGTTATCATCTATTTTCTACCTCTTTTAATGAGCGTTAAGTCTAAAAAAACAATGGGATTGTAATTTATTTTTTATCTCTTTTACATGTTAGGGCTAACTTGTAAAATAATTAATATATTATCTCATTAATACATTTATAGTAATATAAATTTGATTTTAATATATATATTTATTCCTTGATATAAGAGAAAATATTACTTTTCCTTATTATTGTTCACCATATAATACTTAATTATTATTTTATTATAAAATTTGTTGTCATATAATGTCATTATTATTTATAAAAGTCATAGAAGTTGTACGTCTTATTTTTCTTTTGATTTTATGTAATAAAAAATAATTAATGCACGTTAGTATTATTTATGTAATCAATTTAAAATATGTAAATAAATTTAAAATTAAATAGTGTATAAATATTTTACAAAATATGCACACATATTTTTTTAGAATTTAATTTTATGTACTAATTAAACAACGTTGATTGAGCAAATGAGAAAAACTCAATCCCTTTTATAATCAAGATTTTTCTAATTTGCATTATAAGGATTTATAGTTTATTTACCATACTTTGCAATAAAAATATATTTTACAAGAATTTTTTCATTACAGAAAGAAATTAAAATAAAAAAAAAATAAAAAAAATACTCATGGTTGCCAATAGTATACAAATAAATTCAAGAACAGTTAATATATTTAAATTTTATTTTTGACCATTAATAAAACTATTTAATGTATCTGGTCATTATCTCTTAAATGAAAAATTATATTAATTTGAAGAATAATTTATTTTTTATATATAACAAAATAAAGCTTAAGAAAAAAATATATTGGCAAAGATTAATTCACCAACTTGATTTCGCCTGATTAATTGGAAAAAAAAAATTCTTCCTAACTTATTACGATTTTCTATAAATAATTTTAGATAAAAATTGAACATTTGTGGAAAAAAAAAAACTAATATTATGGTTAGAACTTAAAATATGTTGTAATATTTATCTTGATCAAAATATTATCAACATGAATCACAGAAAATCAATGTTGTAATTTATTATAATGGATATTAATGAAATTGTTGTAGATATTAATAAAATTATTTAAGGAAACAATATTTTTGATCATATCAGATTTGATCTTATTTGAAAACGTGTATATAAAAACAATTAATGCATATATTTAAATAAATTTCAAAAAA